ATAAGATTTTGAGGCATCAGCTGCTTAAACATATCTTTTTGGTTTATTTGTTTGATCTTGATGTCTTATTTGTTAATTACCATTATATAATTATTTTTAAACAGCCCCTTTACAATAAAAACTGGTGATCAGTAATTACCCCAGAAGTGATCAGGAATTACCCCAGAAATGATCAAGACCAGGGGTAATTCCTGATCACTAAAAATTTAAAATCTTTTAAATTCTAATTAGATTTTCAAACAAAAGAAGGTGGCATTGGACTCATCTCATATAGCCTCAAACTTCCAGTAAATATTAAAATTCTATTTTGAATAGTTTTTTCACAAAATAGATGTTTGCGTTTTTTGATCAGGAATTACCCCAGGTCACCCTAGTTCAGCAATTTCAACATAATGTTAAACTGACTAAAAAAGGCACTGGATATAAAATGATAAATAAATTATAGAGAACATTTTTTTTTATCTTTACCAAAATGTATTTTCAATAAACATATAGCCTATTAATAAACTAATAACAAAGTTTCAGATATATCAAGTGTTTAAAATCAGCAAAATTAAAATAAAAGTTTAATACAAAATTAAAGAAATGCCCATTTCTATTAAGATCGTTAAAGAAGATAGAACTATTGTCATAAATAATTCAAAAAATTAAAACCACAAGTCAATATTAAGCAAATTTCAAACATTTCCTGAACTTAATAGAATGTTACCGTTTTACTGTCTTAATTATTTTCTCCAAATATTTAACAAAATTCTATACAAAATAACTAAGACGTGTAAGTCTACTTACCATATTGATAATCAAAAACAAATAGTGGGACCAAATAATAATAAACTGACGATGTACCAATTTCAGAATATTTTCAATTTCAGAACAGTTCAAATTTGAAAGAATTAAAAACTTCAATCCAAACTAGATCATGTCTTGCTTTAAATTTAGAAACTGAAATCCTATCGGTAAAATTGTAGAATGACACGCTATATATAACATAAATAATTTATTTGGGTCAAGAATTAAACATCGTTTTGCTAGGTTCTTTCCCTTTTAACAAGTAGTTGAGTACTTGAAAACTTTTCCCGAGCGATTTTGAAAAGCAGAAAACTTTTAACAGATCGGTTTAACGCACAAAAAGCGGCGCTAGCATCTGTGTCGGTAATATTTTCTAGTATCCTCACTTCATATAAGCACTGTGCATAATCGCGTTGATCATTAAAATGCAATAAAATTTAACTTCTAGGATTTTTTTATTTCTGAAAACCGATATATAATTTTGTATATTGCTTAAAGATGTCTATATATCTATTGTAATTTATTTGTTTGTTTATTGAAGTCTTAAAACCAGAGATCATTCAGATTACGGGCAGTTAGATCTTGATTTAAAGACAGTTTTCAGATCTCGGGTTAAATTACTACTAAAGGAAGGATATTTGCTTATTCAATCATAGTTACTAGTTTCAAGAGTCTTTTGCTATATTTAAATATATATTTATGATGTGTGCGTTTATATGATGTATACATTTAGCAAAATGAATTCAAAACTGAAAACTTTTGAATTGAGACGCATATTTTTCTTAAAAAAATAAGCAATGCAACCATAAATTTGTTTAATTTTTTTATGAGATTAAAAAAACTTTTTCGTGAAAACAATTATTCGCAGATTTTACTTTGAATTTGATTGTGAAGCGTCTATCAATTACCGATCTTTATAAAAGCCTTTAAACTCCTTGTAGAGTTTAAGTCATGATTAATTATAATTTGTAAGGTATCAACGCGCAAACAGTTATTTGAATTAATAAAAAAAATACATACATATATTCCTATCAAAATCTGTCAAATCATTTCTTTTTATCTGAAAATAATTATCTACTCTGCCAGAGAATTGCAATTAATCAAATGCTTTACTCTTGTAGCTTAGATTACTTGCAAAATTGTTCTTTGTTTTATTTTAATTTTTTCTGTGACTACTTAAATGAGGCATCGTTTATTTTAATCATTTGAATTTCAGAATTTAAAAAATCAACTTTCATAAATACACGAGTTTTTATAAGAAAAATTTTAAAATTTACAATTAATTTGAAAGAAAAAGTGTGTTTAACATCTGTAAAATTTGCAAATTTCAGATTTTTATAGCTCACAAACAAAGGTAAAATGTTATTTTTGTTTTGACAAATTGATCACTAGAGGGCGTCGATACATAAACTACTGACTAGACCAGTAATGTTGAAATTTACCATATGACGTCCGTTTGGTAGAAGTTCCGAAAAGCGACGAATCGTTACTACATTCCTCTTGTCCATAGTCTTAGCTTCGCGGACTTTTCCTATTCTTAACATTGCAATCAAAGACTTGAACTGCTTAAATACTTCATTTAACTTGAATGGTACTTTTATAGTACTTAATATGGTGCTTAAATGGAATGGAATGTGGTACTTTTATTTACATCGCAGTAGAGCTACACAATGGGCTGTTGGCGACGGTCTGGGAAACATCCCTGAGGATGATACGGAGACAACATACACACATACTTCAAATCTCGTTTTATAGGGAGAACACATTCATATTCATACACCATCCATTCGTATATCATAATTTTGACCTGAACCAGAGCACGATCAATCTCCAATCCAGTACCATCAGATCTAGAGGTATTAATTTGTTGTAGAAACTTGGAGGGCATTTATTAAATTATACTAAGTAAATAATATTCGAACTTAATACTCTAAATTTCATTTTAAGAGTAGTATGCGTTCACTGAAGTGCAATGAAATATATTTTTAGATAATAAAAGAAATTAAAAATTAATTCAAATAAATAGGCCGTCATACCGAGAGATCGTGAATTCGATGCTCAGTGGTGACACGGGAACATTAATTTCGCACATCTTCTGCAGCATTTTAAACGTATAAATCAAATACTAAATTTTTATTTTGCATTTGTATATATCTTTTGTTTCAAATTTATTATGTTGTAGTTCATTTACGTCGCACTTGAGCTGCACAATTTTTCTATTGGCGACGGTCGGGGAAACATCCCTGAGGATGATCCGAAGATATGCCTTCACAATTTTAATCATCTGCAGAGGGGATGGCAGCCTTGCTTCGGTAGCCCGACGACCTGCGCGTGAAGTCGAGCTCTTTATGGTATAACAGTTTAACGAGGACCAATACCGTACACCCTCCAGGGTGGAATTCAACTGCAACATCGACTGTCTTAAGACGGGTGAAATCGTAACTTTCGCAATGCATGATGGGAAATCTCGTAAGTTTCAATTCAACTGAAACACTTANACGCGATATGCGATATATGCTTGTAGCTTTCTTTCCTTGTTTATTCACTGTGCAAAAGAATCTGATTGGACAAAAATATTTTGACGTCACTGCTGATCGTAGGGAGAAACATGTAACAAAATCCCCGTCTTAAGCCAGGGTACATTTAAGATACGACGCAAGTGTTTCACTTGAATAGCTATTTAAGACGATAGGCGTAACTTCCCGAACTTAAGACCGTCGCATACGTCGAGTGGCGTGTCTTAAGACTGTTTCAGTTGAATCCCAGCCTCAGTCCCTACGCACGCAGACTGATCCAAGTGGTCACCCTCCCGGTCACTGACAGCAGCCAGTGACGCTTGACTTCGGTGATCTGCTGGGAACCGTGACTTAACGATAAGTCCACTGCGGGACTTCAAATTTTTTAAGTTACAACCTTTTCAGAAACGTAAGATGTTTTTGAGGTTGACAGATATAAAAAATACACCTGAGGTAGGATGTTTTGCACCAGAAATAACCTCAATTTCAACCTCCTTTACAGCTCATAAAATCATTCTCATATATCAGCAATAATTTAAATTTAGATTGGGCGAAATCATTCACGCCTCAAAAATAACTCCGTTAAACTGGTTGCTCAAAAATAGAAAGAAAAGTAGTTTCTTATATTTATTGATTTACAATCAAAGATTTCGTTCAACTGATTATATTCTACATTTTTTCTAATATGGTTTTCTTAAGAAGTTAAGAGAGGATTGTGAATGATTGACTGAATGTAAACAATAGCTTCCTAAAACCGGAAGAAATTTAGAAGACTTCCGGTGTATCCCTCCGCTTATGATATCCTTATAAGGCGATGCGTAAACAGGTTTAATATTCTAAGAAGTTTTATAATTGTGATTTGTGTTTAAATTTACGCGTAATTTTACCATTCATAAGAATTTTCCGTAATTTATGAATTTTAACTGGTCTCAAACCTAACACAAATTTAATAAAGTTTATATCGCTGTATTATTGAAGTAAAAGGTTTGCCATGTTTTGAGTGTTATCCCTTATTTGCCTATATTTGTGTAAAATAGCTCAGCTTGTTAGTATTTTTTTTTTTTGTAGTATCAGAGGCGATTGCAAAGCTCGAATACGTAATCTGGGGAGAAGACCGTTTCCAAGTCTTTGGTACTCCCGACTCCCCTCTCCTCCTCTTTTTAGTTGTATTGGAATGTATTACGATATTTTCCCTTTTCTTAATAATTTTCGTATTTAATTATTAAATTATTTTTTAAAATTTCCATGGCACTCTCTTTTAGAATTATGTTAAATGGAGTTTTCAGTTCTATATAGTTTCCTAACTTAAAATATTTTAATCTATTTGAAAATCAAGTCAGAAACTAATGCACTTCTTTCTTCCGTGACTCTCCACATAGTAATGGTGAAAGCATGCGAAGTGTTGCATAGGTAGAGAGTTCTGTTCTACGACACCTGTAGCCCATTTCGATCGCCAATAGTGCATCTTCATCTACTCCTCTTTGATTTATAGAAGAAAAACATTCAAGCAAAAACAGTACCGAAAAGCGACATGCCGTTACTGCACTCCTCTTGTATCGCTAGTTATCGGAGTAGTTTGAGTTTTCACTAAATTTGTCTATTGAATCAAAGACTAGCATTCATTAATTTCTTCCTTTAAATATTAAGTAAATAATATTCGAGCTGAATATTCTAATATGTATACTAACAATACAGTATACTTTTTCTGAAAATAAAATACAAGTTTTTTTTCAGGCAAATGAAAGAAATTAAAAGTCAATTAAAATCGAAACAACAAACTTGGAGGTCAAGGGTTTAATCCCTCCAGTCATGAAACGGGGGAATCTATTTCTCATTTAAACCCTAAAGTATATATTTCAAAGCATTTTAACAATTTAAATCAAGTACTAAATACTTATTTCATGTCTAATTTTTTTTTAAATTTAAAATTGCTTAAAATATGTACTTATAACTCTGCTGATTTCTTCTTTTAAATAATTTTCGAGCAGAATATTCTTATACGTATACTAACAATATTGTATGCCTTTTCTAAAAATAAAATATATATATATATACACTCTATTACAAAAAAATCGACACCCCTAGAAGCAATCGGATGATTGCTTCTGGGGGTGACCAAGAAGCAATCGGATGGTTGCTTCTTGGTGCCAGATTACAGTGATGCATGGCTCGATCAGGACTGGGACGTATAGTCTTTAGCGACGAATCCCGCTTCCAACTTCGTCCTGACGATCATTGAAGACGTGTTTGGAGACGCACAGGGCAGAGGGAGGATCCTGCTTTCACTATTGCACGCCACACCGGCCCTCAACAAGTCATTATGGTCTGGAGTGCCATTTCCATTGACAACCGAACCCCTTTGGTCACTGTTGGAACTTGTATTATTACTGAAGTTAGCATAAGCAGATATATGTTGGGACTTGTATTATTACTGAAGTTAGCATAAGCAGATCTAGTAACAGAAAGAGAGATGATTTTGGTGTTCTATTAAGTTTGTTGACATTTTATACGATATTAAGAATACGAAATAAAGTTTAATTATTATTATACGTTTGTATTACGTTTCAGTTACTTAAGATTACGATAAATTAGATCCTGTATAAGCAGCGATTAAGAATCTTTATTGAGTAACAACAGTCACTTACATTTTGGTCAGGTACACTTAGTGCATAGCGGTACGTCGACGACATCCTAAGACTTGTTTTGCTACCGTTCCTTTTGCAGCGCCCTTGGCTGGTTTTTCAGCAGGACAATGCCAGACCACATGCGGCTCGTGTTGCTATGAACTGTCCGCCGTGTGGCAGCTTGTATTCAGGCTAGAAGCGGGTCAACACCTTATTGAACTTGTTACTGTATCTCTGCAATAAATCATTTACTATTCTGTACATTGTCTTCCTATCCACCAATTTTCGTNTAACAACAAAGTGGCGTCCGTTGATTTTGAACGAACTAAAATGTCTGACGACGAAGCGAAAGCAAAAGATGCAGAGGTTTCATTAGGAAACGACAAGGTTGAGAAATTGAGGAAAGAAAGAACAAATTTACGAAGAATATTTACCACGACTTGTAATAAGTTTGATACGAAAAAGAAATATTTACATCCAAAACATCAAATGGCATTTTAGCCCACCTACCGCACCATGGTATGGTGGATGGTGGGAGAGAATGGTCCGTAGCATCAAAGAAGCTTTACGAAAGTGCTTGGGAAGGGCTTGCGTGACGTACGAAGAAATGCTCACGTTATTGTGCGAAGCTGAAAGTGTTATCAATGGGAGACCACTCACCTATCTTTCAGATGATCCAAATGAAATGACACCAATAACACCAGCTCATTTCATACAAGACATAAGAGGATCAGAAACGCATGACATAGACATTGTCACCTCCAAGCATTTACTGAAAAGAGTAAGGTATCTACAAAGTTTACGTGAAAATTTACGAAAACGCTTCCAGAAGGAATATTTAGGTGAACTTGTACGAAACCCAAAATCTAGGTCAAAGCAGAAGGAAATTTCTGTAGGAGAAATAGTTCTTATTGGATGCGAGGGCACGAAGAGACTGAACTGGCCATTGGGTTGTGTTGTTGAACTGTTTCCTGGCAAGGACGCAATACGAAGAGTAGCGAAGTTACGAGTTGCTAATGGCTACCTCGTGAGACCATTGCAGAGACTGTATCCACTCGAAATGTCTGTCAGTGAGTTTCCATCTGACACAACAGCAAATGAAAAGGATAAACAGGTCGATGTCGACTCTGGTGATTTAAAGTCTTCAGCAACTCCTATCCCAAGACCTCTCAATCCTAATGCTGAGACTTTCATTCCTATGACAGAGGTTTCCCAACCTGTGAAACTGACTCGTAGAGGTCGAAAAATAGTTCCACGCCAACGTTTGGACTTGTAGACGGCATATATTTTAAGCTAGGACTTTAAAATACTTGTTTTTCATAGTGTGTTTAT